TACCAGAGGGACAGCAGTTAGTCTAAAGCACACACCAACAATGTTTTGAGCTAATCTTGCCTGATCGAATGGTTGATTTATCAGCCAATCTTACAACACACCTACAGTCCGCGTTTTTTTTTGTTTTTTTTGCGGCAACGAGTCACGAACCATGAACTATTGGTAATCCGAGCACATTAATCATTGGGATACATCAGACCCTTTTTGCCACGAAACGAAGCACTCAACACAAGTATTATTATAATAATAAATGTAACTTTTGTGTAGTGGATCCATTACAAATGAACCCTTTGGTTTTAGCTACTGAACGGTATTTTGCTCTCAATCTATTCTGAGAACACCGTGTGAATTGATAAACTGTACACACACACACACATATATATATTTTTTCTCGTTTTTGATGTTCTCACAAGAGCTTTAATGCACCTGAAATACTGTATAAAACGTTTATTGGAATACAGTAGAAAAGTTCGTTTACAAGAAATAACATCAAGGTAAGCCTTTTAATTTATTGATTAGAATTTTCGTGCGAGGCTGCAAAAGAGCCATCTTCGCACAGTTATCTCCACTTTTGTACTGACCGACTAGAGAGATGTCAGATGGTTAAAAACACCAACTGACAACTCTACAGAATGCAATGATAATGTCCGACATTTTCCATGCTGAAGGGTTAGTGCTGTACGCGTACGTTTCAACATACTAAATTTTTATCTCAAATCAGAATTAAAAGTGAATTTTTCGAGCAATTATCAACAACTATGATAAATACATTTATATATACCACATTTCTTAGGCATTGGTAAAGGGTCTTAGTTCATTATTCAAGAACGTTTTATCTATTTTGTTCCCGATAAACGAGAGTTGGTAGTTTCGTAACTTAGGGGATGACATTTATTTATTTTTCTGAAATGAAACAACCCTTTACTAAAACTTTTGATTTTTCACCACACCAGCAGTAACGCTAATGATTTCTATTAACCTAAATCTGAAATATTATCAAACATTTATTCAACAAGTTTTTGTTAATATTCAAAATTTTGAACATACATTGTGTTTTGAGCATGTAAACAATTACAGGAAATTAATTGTCATTAATAATAATAATGATATTCAATAAATGATATCATGTTGGTGAAAGTTAGTAAAACTTACTATAATATATAAGATTATTTTTATTTGTATACTTAAATATTTTATACTAAGTTATAAAGTATGTATATCCACTCTAAACTCAAAATAAACGAGTAACTTATTTCAGTCCAGGAAATGTTTCTTCTGTGCCAATTCACGAAGGTAATTTAGCAACTAATAATCAAAGACATCATAAGCCCTAACTCAAATGTATTTAGTACTGTTTAGTTACTTTCATTGTAAAAATTTGTCTTGTAGATTTAAACGTATCGGCAAAGTTAAGAACTGACGAAACAAGTTGTAATAGTCAAATTGAGCTTTAATATTTTCATGTGTATGTCAAATTACACGAGGTTGTTATATCGTTTGCATTTAATAAAAAATGCATTTTTGCAATGCGTTGAGCTATATAACTTGAACCTATTTTTATGAGGTTATATCGTCACAAGTTGCTGATATGAGATATAAACACCATACATCCCAAGCTAAGACTTAAGTGGAACCTAATTATAGCCAAGAACAACATAATAATCAAAACTATCGTTAATTAAAAAATAAGGTATTTACAAAACCAACTTACGAATACGAAAGAGATTTTTAATTCCAACGAATAAACTCAGGAGAAAATGAATCAGTAGAAACGAAATTATATATAACTTCTTTTAAGTTTTGTATTCTACCTCGAAATGCTTCTAATAATTCGTATAAGTAATTAAAATATTTTTATGTATCGTTCAAATTATTTTCAAGAGTCTGTACTTTTAAACTACCGACAGAGCTTTGTGAGATGGGTGTAAAACCCTATACACTGGCTAGTATGTTAACTAATTGTATTACTGTTTTATGTATTATCATTCTATACTACTTTTAATAAAACAGACAAATCACAGTTCAAGTGTTTTTGGAATGCACATCGACAAGAAGGAAGCTATGTATTATTTCCAGGTGAAACTGGACTGGTGGGTACACTACACGCACCAGTATTTCATCCAGAAACCAAAAATAAAAACATTTTATTTATTATTGACTGTAATTTTACGAAGTATTATCTTTATTTTCAGGCTTGTGTCTGGCTCAGTATGACAAGCACTTGTCAGCTATTTGACAAAAATGTAGATAAACACCAGGCTTGTTTGTACGCTACCACTCATTACAAAAAGTAAAATAAAAAGTAGAACAGAATGTTTTACTGAGAAAATAAACTATTTTCAAATATTCGAACAATCATCGCAACAACTTCGATTTCTATCACAAACTTTTTATTCTAACACCACTCCAATGTTTAAAGAAATTACAGATGTTTTAACAACTATGATTTCTATCACAAACTTTTTATTCTAACACCACTCCAATGTTTAAAGAAATTACAGATGTTTTAACAACTATGATTTCTATCACAAACTTTTTATTCTAACACCACTCCAATGTTTAAATAAATTACAGATGTTTTAACAACTATGATTTCTATCACAAACTTTTTATCCTAACACCACTCCATCTTTTAAAGAAATTACAGATGTTTTAACAACTATGATTTCTATCATTGATATATTGATAGTGAATGTTACTTGGTTAGCTTGTATCATCTAATCGTCAACTACCACTCTGAAAGAAAACTTTTACTTATACCAGTAAAACTTATTAGATGCATAAAAACTGTATTAATTACAAGAACTTTGTTAAAACTTGTTTGATGCCGAGGTAATTGTACCGTATATGATGCACCGAGGTCTACATCTAGTACAGCGTAAGACAGGTCTGATAAAGCTATAGTTACGTTGAGATCATCATCACTTGTTGCTACAGAATTTCTGGTTCTCTAGAACTTATATGATGAAATGTCTGGGAGAAAAGCAGATTCTGTATAGTTTGTACAGTCAGTTTTGTATAAATTCCCACGTGGAACTGGACCAGCGGGTAAGTTATTACAGAACAACATATCGAAATTCGTTTAATATCTTTTAGTTCTACTATATACCATGTATTTAATCATCTATAAGCCTAGTTATATTGTAAACTTTTTCAGAAATGTTTTTAATAAAATAATGATTTAGATACAAAGTCATGAGACACCTGAAATAATAATAATTATTTTATTATAATCATTATTATAATCAGAAATAACACAAAGCTTTAAAAAGTGTATTTTACAACTTCATTACTATAGAAGTTAAAAACTATACAAATAAATTGACTACTTTATCGCCAGATTCTAGCAAAAGTGTAAAGTGTACACTTGTTACGATTTACTTTATCGTCAACTCTATTAATCGTTTTACATTTAACTTTTAAAGGAAGTAAAGCAAATCAGAAATCTAATTCAAATATACTTTAGACATATAACCCCTATTCAAACGAATCAACAAGAAGGATATGACTTCCCTATTTTCCCAACTTGCTAGTGTAAAATTTAAGATCCTTTTACGAATTAGCTACATTTTATGCATTCTAATTTTAAAGTTTAAAGCTATGCAACATTAAGTTATACAAAATTTTAGAATTGAGTAACAAGATTACCTGTTCGACGTTCCCAACCTAAGCAGCTGTCACATTAAAGTGCTTCCTGTTTAGGACAAACGACGGTATCACTGACATAAACAGATCAGGACCCATTTTGTGTCTGTATAGGTCGTAACTGGGAAGGGGGTCTTTGAAAAATATTGCAACGAAATATCCAGAAAATCGATGCCAAGAGTCTCATAGAAACAAAAAAGGGGAAAGGTGAACAGTTCGGGGACGAATCATATTCTAGGTTATGGGGTATCATATATATATATATGTATAACCTGCGAAAGTGTTTGGGTTATCGAATTGCATATACCAGTCGTATTCTGAAATTTTTAGACTGACATTAAACTGATGTTCTTTTAAACAAAAGTTGTCGAAATTCGTTTAATATCTTTTTTAGTTCTACTATATACCGTGTATTTAGTCATTTGTAAATCTAGTTATATCGTAAACTTTTTCAGAGGTGTTTTTAATAAAATAATGATTTTGATACAATTATCAGAGGAAAAGGTCACCCGCTGAGTCAGCCGTAAGTTTATGGACTTACAACGTTAAAATCTGAAACTCGGTTCCCCTGTGATGGTTGAAGCACAGGTATCTCATTGCACGTGTAACTTTGCACTACAACGACAATAAAGAAAAATGACTGATAAACTAGATGTACTTCCGCAGTGTCTCCGAACGTGTTCTGTTTCAAGAGTAAGTAAAACCAAAATTAAGAGGAACTAATATTTTTATTTCTTGCATTTGAAGTTCATATGTCATGCTGTGTTGTAGCCCACAAAGTGCATAAATCTTCTCGCGATTCATGGCATTCGCACGTTTTACTGACGTCACGACAGTACAAATCGCAACATTAAGCGTTCCTTATGTGACGTCATTTTAGTATTTACTGACTGGCTGACAGACAACACACTACTGTATGGTGCGAGTGGTTATAACAGGCGACCCTTTCCAGGCTGCCTTCGACCCCTTCCGGGGAAATAACACTAAATAGCTCAGTGTATCGTCTAAAAAGAAATTAGCAAAAAGAAAGATATATATAGTAAAGAAGATAGTGAATTTGTTCAATTTCTTCAATAAGCGACAACGTTAGACGAGTAAAATGAACTGAATAGCTCGGAGGTCATCATTCTACACTTATAAAAACATGTGCACTTACATTATATAAAATAATACAACATTTGTGAAGCGAAAGCCTATTTAAGTAAGTGTGATATGCAAATATATAGGTGTATGCATGTATGTATTTTACTGCGGAATGGTTACCCTAGAATGTATTCATAGATAATTGGTTGTTTGCAATAGAACACTTATCCCATGACCTTGCCTCAATAGCAAGCGATGACGATGCAACTTTGCTGCGTTTTCTCACTACCCTTAAAGAGCAGCTGGAGAAGCGGCATTAGGTACAGTTAGAGGTCGCTGTTGATCAGGTATGGCTGCGAAGCTCGAAGTATTTTGTGGTAGTTCTGCATTTTGGGTAAGTGTTTCACTTATTTTAACATTTTTCTGATTATTTGGTTTGTACATTCAAGATAAATTTGAAAAACATGCACTAATATTACTTTGCCCGAAGAAAATATAGACTGAAGTTGATGATTGTCTTACTTTGTTCTTGTAACTTTCACAACAACCTGTATATTTCATTTTCAATTATTTGATTATTTCTGAAGTACGAAACTTGAAAGTAATGTAACTCGTTAGTACTCAGTTCTGTTAATAGTACCAATTACTACCACTAGTACAAGTAATAATAGTAGTATTACTATTAGCAAGTACTGGAGTAATAACTGAATTTTAATTGCACCCTAACATCGCGATGTCGGTATACATTATAAAGACCACAATAACTTAGACACATTTTTAAATATTAGTTTTATTATTACGTTTTTTGTTGTTGTTATTTACAAGCATTATAACTATAAGTGCTTTAAAATATTTTACCACATTTGAGAAACATTTTTAGGTCTAGAGAAAATCACAACTAATCCATTTTTTTGTTTTTGATTTTATTATATTGGGCACCTTCACGTTAAGATTAAGTGAAGGGTTGCAGTTAAAATGTTTGTTAGGTTTATGCTTGTTAGGTTTTACATGTGAAAAACTATTAATCATTACATGAGACTTTTTATCATTGCCATTGTGAACATATTGAGTTTTATTATAACTTGAATAATTTAAATTAAAATTGGTTTCAGAAGTTTTTAAAATTATTTTTAAGTTTATAACTGAAGTTTAGGTGAAACTGATATTGACAAAGAAAAAAGTACAGCAGTTTTTTTAAGATAAAAATATGAAGACAAACATTTTTTAGTCATCATCTTAACATTCAAGTGTTTAGGTGTCTAAAATAAGAGTGAATTTGGCCCTAAACAAATGTAATGGATCATATTGTACTTAAGTAGCTAACAGTTCTTCTTTGATAAATGTTTTTCCTCCTAAACAATTATCATCCCTTAAGCTGGCCAGACTTTGAGATATTATTACTGGGTTTATGGCTGAAAATATTGTTAACTACAAGGTTACCCAACTGATGAAACAATGCATTCTACTCCTTTTAAAATCTAAGTAAGAAAAATATATTTGATTAGCTGCACTCATTAAGGGTTGATTTTCCATTTTGATCTAAATTCATCTGAGTGGAAAGTAATGTCAATTAGCCTTTAAACATGCAAGTTCTGAAACTAATGTAGAAAGTATATGTCTTCTTGACAACTTGGAAAGTATTGTGTAGATAATAATCTATATTCATACTGTGGGTTAACAAAACCATAAATAACACTAACGTACATAGTAATTGTCTTGAGTGTTTGGATGAATATTCAGATGCTTAAATATTTTGAATGAAAATGAACTTTTTGGTTAAAAAAATTTTTTACTACTGTACACCGGTTGTTTTGGTATGTAATACTTGTATGAATAGAATTGTTTGTATAGTTTCAATATCACACAAGTAAGCATAGGTTAACAATGAGTAAAACTTTTAGTTAAATGTGTGAAAAGGTTAAGGGAAATTGTACTTATAAAATATAAAATAATAATTTTTTCAACCACTATGATAAGGTTTATTTCCTATTGCAGAGTCTAGTAGTAGTAGGCTGCTAATGTATTGTTAAGTGATATTTAAGGCTGGGGCTAATATGCCCCCAGAAGCAAAGGATTAGGCTCTGAGATGTCACTACAACCTCACTTTTATCTTCAGCCTGTATATAAATCTGAAGCAGTTTACTAATAAACTTTTGGCAGTACTTAAATGCCATCATTTTTGTATTATCATTCAAAGTGCTTGATCTAAAGCAAGAGTGCCAGAAATCTGGTCTTAGTGCTTGGCATTAACTCTCATGGTGGGTAGGTCTCCATCAGTGTTGATTCATATTGGTAAAGCTTGTTACTTGTCAGGCTGTATGTAATTTTCTGTTTCATTTCTGACTTTTTTGTTATAAAATATGTTGCAATGATTCCAGAGAAAGTCCTCAAATACTCTTTGTTATGAAAAGAGTTTTAAACTTTTGAGTTTTATTGTTATTGAAAACTTGTGCAGGCTTACAAGAGGAATTTTGAGTTTTGGACTGATTGTTTAATTGGAAAGAAATAATTAGACTATTAAAGTACCATAAAGTGTACAAGCCCACAATAATGTTAAATCTTTAGGTAGGATTAATTATCCTTTAAAATTAATAACACTGGTCAACAAAATAAATTTTTTTTCTTCTCTCTCATTAAAGATGTAAACATGCTTTTCTGGACCAATTTTGCATGGTGATTCCACATTTGTTTTCAGTTTTCTTCTAGCACATCTAGTTATCAAAATATGACTGGTGTTAATTTCAGCACAATTTAGGTAATAATCACACATTAAGCTAGTTAACGTCACAAGTTTATTCATTTTTCAGTTTAATTCCCATAAACATTATACACACACCATACACTTGGTTAAATTTATACAGTACACACACTCGTGAAAAAGAAATGTGCAACAACTTAAATTATAATTAAGGCAGTAACCTTTCAAACTTGATTGGTCTCATCACAAAAACTTGACGTGTTAGAGTAAAACCAAAGACAGATTTTGAATCGGTGTTCCAAGAACTATATAGCCCACCTATAATTATATCTGATGAAAAATTATGTGTTGGCCAGTATAATTGGGAGAATGGTTTTGTATGTTAAAGTGATACTTGTATCTGATTTTGGTAGCAGTTTAAAAATTATTGTTCAATACTTATACATTACTTCTGAAAACCTAAAAGCTTCATATTTTTGTAAGTATTATTAAATAAAATTGTATATACTAAAGTGAAGATTTAGTAGCAATAAAAAATTTTGTACATGCATGTGTGTGTGTAAGGTTCAGTTTGAAAGACTGAATTATGAAAATAATAATAATTGTTGTTTAGGACTTGTAATGTAGCTAGATTAATATGAAAAATTATAAATGGAATTTTCTCTACCTTAAAACACTATTATTGTGACCTTTCGACCCTCTTACTGGAGCCTACGTCAGGCAACAATGCATTTTAACGTAGTAAAGTCCGTTTATAATTATACATATGAAAATCATATTAGTTACTGTATAAACTAGCTTAGGGAGATTTTGAATATTTCAAGCTAATAATTTCTTTAATGGACTAAATGGCTCTGCATAACCTGTTGACTTTTTGTCTTCTGTTAGTAAAAAATACTGTTACATATATCAAGTTGATCAAGTGAGATATCATAAGAGTAGCCTGTCTGTGCATCATTTCAGTTAGTTTGCATCTTTTTTTGTGCAGCAAACCAGGTACAGATGTAAAATGGATAAAAAAAGACAAAATATTTTTTATTTGTAATTGAGTATTTACCTTATTATAGCCTTAAGTTGCTAAACAATCTTATGAAAATGTATGTTGAGTAGTAAAAAGTATTTATAGTAAATAACATAACTGTATAATAATGTGTTGAAACACTACAAAAGAAATCCCCAGATTCTGTTAAACTACATGTACCTTGTTTATATATTGATTAGTATTAAAATTGTAATTGTCTTTTGTGTAATTAAGAACAAAGGAATATCTAGATAAGATTAAAGAAAATCTAGTGTTGCACATTTCTGTGCAGTTTTCGATGCACTGTCTGTAGATTAATGGATAGGGTTGAGCTTTTGTGTACAGTACATGTCAAAATACAACTACCTTCTGCAGCTTTGAAATAAGCAAACAAGAAGGGATGTGTACTTTGGTATAAAGCAATCAAGCATAGCATAGGATGCCTCTTGTGATCATGGTTCCTTTTTCTCTGACCCTTTTGTAAGCAAGACTGAGAGAAAAGAACAAATTCAACTTAATCTTGTGTGTGCACAGTAAACCTTGATCTATATGGTGTAGCAATATTTGATAAGTGTAGTAGATAAAACTTTATCATTTGTTCCAAAAGTGCAAGTCATGAAAGCTATGGAATATGCAAAATGTGATATTGAATATTTGTAACTATAAGTATATTTAATTTTTTTTTATTGTTACCTCTAAGATATGTATTTTGATAAGATATTTTGTAATTGAGTGTGCAAAACTGTAATGATGTACACTGTATCATGTAATGTTTTCAAAATTACAAATATTTTCCATGATACGTTATTACAAGTGGAGGAAAAATTATTCAAAAAGCAATTTGAAAAAGTAGATAAAGTTTTGTTAGTATTAAATATGATGATATTTGATAATATTTTCAATTTAACAAAATTTACCTGAATTATTAAATAAGTATTAATTATGGCATTATTATATGTAAATATATAAACTAGTAAATGACAAAGAATCATCAATAATGTTTAAAAGTTATTTTTTATAATTTGAAGTCACTGCGAAATATATGTTTTTAGTTCATTGAGTCATTTTTGTGTTATCTCAATTCCATTTAAAGTGTTAAGTTTTTTGGTATTTCTTTGAAAGTAGTTGAGCACCAGATCCATAACAAGGTCTGCGTTTTGCCATTTTTTACACATAATAAACAATAAATTTGTGGTTCATGGCTTTTAATCTTTTTTTTTCTTTCTATTTGGCATGATTTATTGCTTTCATTAAATTTTATATTTAGGTTTCTTGGGCTATAATTAAGAACTGTGCTTTATACCAAACTAACATCATCTTCATATATTAATTTTCAGTAATTGGTATTTTTTTGCTGGTACAAGACATTTCATTAACAAAGTTCATAGTAAGATACGCAAATTACATTTATACCGAACCCCAATTTTTTAAAATGTAACTCACTCTGATAAGATCCTTGTGGCAGTGGATGCTACCGACTGATTGTTCTCCCTTTAGTGCCCTACTCCAGTACTATGAGTTATCAGGCCAGCTGAGATGCGACAGACATAGTAGTTGTCTAGGGCAGTGATTCTCAACAGAATCTGTAAGGCATGCAGTTACAGGCCTCCCTGGGCCAGAAAATCTGTAGCTGCCCTAACTGTATACATGGGCCTTGATATACAAGAGGTTGAGA